AAAGATCATCTAGTTCCAACCCCCTGCCATGGGCAGGGACACCTTCCACTAGACCAGGTTGCTCAAAGCCTCATCCAGCCTGGCCTTGAAGACATCCAGGGGTGGGACATCCACAGGGTTGCCATCTGGGCAACCTGTTCCAGTGCCTCAACACCCTCTCTGGGAAGAACTTCTTCCTGATATCTAATCTAAACCTCCCCACTTTCAATTTAAACCCGTTACCCCTTGTCCTGTCACTACAGGCCCTTGTAAAAGTCCCCCCCAGCTTCCTTGTAGCCTCTTCAGGTACTGGAAGGCTGCAATAAGGTCTCCCCGGAGCCTTCTCTTCTCCAGGCTGAACCAGCCCAACTCTCTCCGGCTGTCCCCATAGCAGAGGTGCTCCAGCCCTCTGAGCCTCTTTGTGGCCTCCTCTGGACTTGCTCCAACTGGTCTATATCCTTCTGATGTTGAGGGTTCCACAGCTGGATGCAGCACTCCAGGTGGGGTCTCACAAGAGCAGAGTACAGGAGTGGAATCCCCTCCCTTGACCTGCTGGCCACACTTCTCTGGATACAGCCCAGGATACGGTTGGCTTTCTGGGCTGCCCGCGCACACTGCCAGCTCATGTCCAGCTTTTCATCCACCCCCAAGTCCTTCTCCTCAGGGCTGCTCTCTATCCATTCTCCACCCAGCCTGTGCCTGTGCTTGGGACTGCATCAAAGGACAAGCCCATGCCTTTATCTGAGGAGGCTGATGGAGAGTCAAGATCTCTTATGAGGGGGACTTCCATGTGAATTTGGAAAGCAGGAAAGAACAGTAGAAGGTTTTGTACAAGTTGTTTTATGAGGTCATTTGGATATGACATTGAGGGTAAGTGCAATGTTTGTCTTTCCCTCTTACTTCAGTAAGCTCATAGCACTTTATGTCCCAGAACCTGTGTGAGTGGATCTGACAGATACAGACAAGAGACCCTGAGCTCCAGAAAAACAGTCACATATGATCTGAACTCATACAAACACAGACACTTGGAAATACCTCGCCTTCAGTGGAGGGCTCAATGTCTGAGTATCTTGAATCACAAATGACGTCTCCCACACTTCTTGCTGGACCAGAAGAGATGTTGGGAAAAGAAGCTGCACAGTCTTGTGCAAAATATCTAAATGTTTTCCAGGTCTGACCAAAGTCAGTGGAGCGCTCAACCAGCATTGCTGCAGGCCGAAATGTCTGCAAAAAAAAATGTTATTTCAAGAAGTCCTTAAACAGGTGTTGATAAGACATCCCAGGGGTTGTTCTATTGAAATTCCTGTTTGGGGGATACCAACAGCTGCCAATTAAAAATCTGTGTTTGTGAGCTTTCAGGCTCCCTGCAGGGCTGCTGTGCTGGTTACATGATCGTCTGAAAAAGCTGGATTCCTCATCTCAACACTTTCAGCAAAAGGGAAGGGTAACCTTCCATATAAGGTTACTTTCTAAGCCAGGGAGTTTACCATAACAATATAAGAATTTTGTAGGAAAAAATCCGTAACCACCTGGATCATAATGGATATGCGTGAGAAGACTGAACTAAACTTGTCAGCAACCTCAGTTCAGAAATGTCCAAAATTTTAGGGCTTAATTTTGCAATTTAATTTTTTTTCAGCTTTAATTTTCAGATGTATAGAAAATAGGACCAGAAGGCACATGAATAGGGAGCTATTCAGTCTATCCTCCTCCCCTGAGGGAGGATCAACTATAACTTAACCATACTTGACAGGTGTTTATCTAACCTGTTCTTACAAACCTCTAAATATGGAGCTTTCACTGCCTCTCTAAGCAATTTATTCCTGTGGTTAAGTAATTAGTGTATAACATTACATAAAAGCTCTGGTAGAAGATGTACCTTAAAAGTCAGGATAAGATGGCTGAACTGGAATAAAGTTTCTAGGTCCAATCTAATGCTGACATGGTCAACGCCTGCAAAGAGAATGAAAATGAAGAGCACAATGAGCACATTGGAGGGGCTGCTGAGACAACTTCCCTGTGGGGAATTTAAAAATGCCTTTTCCAGCATGGCAGCTAGGCTCTTTAGGGCATCCCCTGTGCACAAACACTGTGTGCAGCTCGATCCCTCTCTTGGGGACAATGTGATGTACTGCCCTGCTGGCACCAGCACCAGCAGTGCCACATGTTACTGAGACTGCAGGAGGTGGTTCAAGGTCCTGTTCAGACCATTCAGATGGCAATGTTCTGGGTTTACATCTTCCTGTATCCAGTAAGATGTTTTTTCAATCCACACAAATAGTTTGCTTATTTCTAAGAAAAAAAAAAAGAAACTCAGTAAGAATATATGGGTTTCTTCATGCTAAACAGATCTGTTAAACACTTCTATACTGCCAGAGCTGAAATTTGTCATGAGCAGAGCAATGGCACCAGGCATCTTCCAAAACTGCAATAAGTATAGAAAAATCCCAATTCACACATTCTCTCTAGAGAGTCACAGGAGCTTAGCTGATATCCCCACTCTTCACATCTGCATGCAGCATCCCAGGGCTGGGGCTGACCAGGCAGCACATAAGACCTCATCCCAGAAGAAAGATAGCAAGAGCAAGAAAAGATCCTGTCAAGCTGGCCCGCAGCTTTACTGGCATTGATGTCCCAAACTGGTGACAGTTCCTTGTTAAACTCCAGGAAAAAACAAGGCTTATGAATTTTAGTTGGATACCCCAAACAGTGGAAACATATTATCTTAATTTTTTTATGCCTTAATTTCCAACCAAATATTTTTTACATATACACTACATGCCCAATAGAGTAGATGTTATTCCTTCTATCATGCCTTTCCATAGAAGCTATAAGGATATATAAATTGGTATTAATGAAGAACTACTACAGAGAAGCTTGCAACAAAATTACCGTGTGGCAATGAGTATATTGATAGCCAGGCTTCATTTATTTATTTCCTAAAGCATTTGTGTTTTACACCGCAAGCACTACTTTTTTTTTTAAAATGGGTATTTGTGTTTTACACGTGTTGTCATTACACATCTGTAGGCAAATCTACCTTTTGCCACAAATCACATTTCCCTGAAGAGCAGACACTGAAAAATACATGGCCACCGCGTATAACACAGGATTGCCATGGTCCTCTGCCCAGCTCTCAGAGATATGTGCTTAAAATTTGTCTGTAGAAAAATAGAATGTCTGAAATCCTACGTTGCTACATACAAATGGGTTTAAATCACTCAGTATTACTGAATCAAAGAATGGGTAGAGCCTTGTCTCATCTCTTCATGAAGGCAACATGATGAATCCCAACTACATAAATAAATCTCACAGTAATATTTTGCAGTAATATTTGCCCAAAGAAACTCACCATTTTCTGACTGCCACCACTTTTTTTTCCTATCAGGCTCAAAAGTTGTGATAACATTTTCAACCATGTGACTGTTGTGCTGCATATAGGGGTTATACGGGTATCGGGAATCACAGAGAAAGCACTTCTGTTCAGCCTAGAAAACAAGATGAGCAGGATAAAAGATTCATTTGGTTGCTTCTCTAAAGATCCATTGGATGTACATGTATTTATGCCATAGAAATGTTGGAGCCTGTCATGGTGCTTTGGGTGTCTGTGCTTTTAATCATTCAGGCTTCCACATATAAAGGACAAGCCCAAGAAAACTATCATATGCACAAACTGTTCATACAGTAAATGTTGGCCTCGGTTTGCCCCCAGTGCTCTATAAGCAATACACTATTTCAGTTGTGGAAAAGGAATCTCAGTAAGAGCAAAGAAGTAAGTTTGTCAAGGTGTTGATTCTAGGTTTAGCTGTCAGAGGTTTTTTGGGGTTTTTTTGCAAGAGTTTCTCAGGAAAAATTAAATTTTTTAAAAGTTGAACTTCTATTCATGTCTCATAAAGGCTGTAGAAACCTTCAGCCAAAGACAGCAGTGAAGAGGTAGAGGGGTAACAAGAGAGGTCTGGACTTGCAAGATCTGAGGAGCCTTAAAGAGGAACATCCACTAAGTTATTTATGCACTTTTTTCCTCTCTCTTTTTCACATTTTCTAGCAGTTTGGAGACCCATCCAGGAGCAGCAGACAGGTGCTGTTGTACAAATGGAAGGCAAGGCTGGATCCAGGTACAATGTAAGTAGGTGGGTGCTGACACCACTACCTCAACCACTGTCAGTGCCTTTTGTAGGCATAGGGAAACTGGAAAAATCTAAAAATTATGCAAAGGAGGAAAATCAGGATGTCAATAGGATGAAAGGATCTTGTTGGAAAATGTTACAAGCAGAAAACAAAGGTGGCAATGAGTAGCCAATACCTCAGTGCTGAATGAGAGGATTTGTCTGAAAAAGGGCTTTGAAAACAGGGCAAGGAGCTCCTGTTGAAGGTGGTAAGAGGGGGATGGTGTGGGAGATGTAAGGAGAGGTGACAAGGTTAACACGCCGGGCTGGGGCATGACCCGTGCTGAGCCATGCGGACAAGCCCGCGCAGCATGCGACGGCAGCCAGCAGTGCCATGGGAAAGTGAATGGCAGTGGCTGTGCAGGGGGATGCTCAGGGTGGGCAGGGCGGCTGTGCCACACAGACAGACCCTATAAGATTTGGGCAGAGTCTGAGTTCAAGGACCGAGGGATAAGCCAAAGTGGAAGGTGATTCCCAAGTTGTGTGCCTGGCTGGCAGGGAAGCTGGCAGGGAAAAAGGGGGATGACACAGCACCCCAGAGGGAGCTGAAGGAGGAGACACAGATTCAGTGCCCTTGGCTGGGAGGCTGGCAGGGTTGCTGCTGAAAACCAAAAGTGGAAGCCAGTGGCAGGAGCTGGGCTGAAAATGACCCAGAAGGGGATGGGCGAAGAAGCACCCTGCCTGGCATGCTCAGGATCTACAGGAAAGTATTAGTGATGATTTGGGCATCCTTGCGTTATGCGATCACCTGGGAATTATTCACATTTAAATAAAGAGATATAGGTTTACAAGTATGGTATAATACATGTATTTTAAACATTATGCTATATATTGTATTCAGTCATTCTTTACCACACTTAACAATTTAGAAAACAAGACAGCAATACAAAAAATACTCTGTCATCTCATTTCACAAAGCTCTGGTAAGGAGAGCTCAGGTTATCAAAGCATTTGGCAGGACTGCCTACTCCCACTCTCTAGTTTATATAGACACAATATGATGCTCAGTCAACTTATGTTTAAGGCTGGTCCGTAAAAATCTTTCTGCCCCAAAGGACAAGCATGTGCATGTCCATGTAAGGCAAGTCTGGCAGATCCCATTTGCCTCTGAAGTGTGCAGCTTTATAGTCTCCTCAATATTGAGTCCTCTTTCAATGTAAATCCAACCATAGGGCTAAAAACCACTTAACCTACATTAAGAAACAATAAGACATGTTAAGGACTGAAAATGATTTGCAGCGTTTCTTTTGAAACACAAAGCAGTTGAACTCTAATTTTTTTTTCAATCTGAGTTTTCGGTAAGACATCCCAACCAAGTCCTGGCTCTTGGCAGCTTGCCACACAAGCTTTCACAGGTGAGGTTTGCTCTCGTCATGATGGTTGAGACAGGTTCATCAGGAGGGGAACTGGGGGAGGAAGCACTTTGCAGGATGCAAAGCTTCCTGGCCTGCCTCCAGCAAAGCATTCAAGAATGTACTAGCGAGAAAGAGAATTGGGTTGAGTGGGACTCCCTGAGAGACCTGAGGTGACACACACATTTAAGGGGAGCTGGTACTGCCAGAGCATAATCTTCTATTTCTCAAGCTCTGCAAAGCAGCAGAACTTGTAGCTCTCATCCTTTCCAGGAGACAGGCACCAGGGGTCAAGATACATTGAAGCAGCATTAAATCACAGGGAGTACTGAGGAACAGCTGTTCCTTTTGAGTCTGTATTTACATAGTTCAAAGGATAAGTACAGGCAAGTGAAAATATTAATTTTTTATTGCTCTTTGATCTCCTCTTGAAAAGGAGAAAAAAAAAGGCAGACATCCAGCTTAGGGGCCAGAAAGACGATGTCTCTGAGATGGCTCTTTGTGCTCGTCTACCAAGCAGTGCCAAGACTCAGAGCACAGCCAGTGCGAGTTAGTGCCCAGGATCCACTTGTTTAAACAGCATGGGAAAAAACAGCAAAGGCTGAAGAGTGGCTCACAGGCTTTTTCGGAAGAGGAAAGAGGTATTTACATTTTGCAGAAAACCCTGGTTGCAATGAGTAACTTGGAGCAGTCCTTGGTGCCATCTCAATATGGCACAGCTTTGCACTGTAAATGTGTCACAGAATTTTGCCAGAAGGTCACAGTCTGTCATTATTTTCAAATGCTTATAAATTAAGCTGTGTTTTATTAATTTCCTCTTCAGCCTACAGCTGTTATTTAGTGAAAATGCTTCTATTTGTGTGAATTTATTAGCTCAGTGGGGCCAAGTTCTTCCTCCAGGACATGCAATGGGGGAATTCGTGTTTCTGCCTGCCTGTGGCTCCTTGCACACCACTGATCACTCATGTTTCGGATCTGCCCACCCACCCCCATGGCCAAAGACGGGACTACTCCATTTTTCCTTCTGCTGGAGATGGCTTTCTGCTTTTATCCACGTTGGTCTAATTTCAGATCAAAAGGCAGGAGAGGACATGGTGTGAATCGCTTAAGAGGCTGCCTCAGGTCCCAGCACGGTATGTGGCACGTCCTGTCCTTCGAGGCAGGGCCTACAGGATCACGCTCCTCCTCCTGCCAAGCACATGCAAACTCTGGTCTTCACCTCTGAGTCATGAGCAGGAAAAGGCCCCACAGAGCAAAGCTCTTTCAGAAACCCCTGTGCTTGTTTGCATCTTATGGGTGTTTCTCCCTCTTGAGAAGCTATACATCACTGTGGAGGCTGTTTGCTGCCAAACCCTCCATATGTGCTGCAATAAGACATAGCCTTCCCCCAGGCTTAAGTAACGCTGTCTGGTGGGTTTTAGACATCTTCAATGGAAAATTCCCAGCCTGGGTAATTTCCTTTCACAGGTGAGAATATTGTTAGTAAGCAGAGGTCAGTTTATTAAAAAATGAAAGAGCAAACCAACCTCTAGGTAGCCTATGATGCAGTACTTCTGAGGGCCATTCATTCCACAGGTTGATGAGGCTGTTAATTGCTTGCTGCGACCCAGCAGAAGGTCCCCAACAGCCGGGTGGCAGGACCCAGCATCACAGTCCTCCTGTGCATGCTGGAGTCTTATCGGCGCTGAGTGCAAAAGAAGATCAGAGAGAGATTAAATTGTTTTGTATACCCAGCACTATTCTCCAGAGAAAATCAGTTACATCATAACATCAGCAGAAAACAAAATTATCTTTTGCCTGTAGTCCTTTTGTCCTTAATAGTATCGTTTGGTAGAATCTTAAAGAGCTTTGGTAATGGACACACCTGCAGTAAAGTCATTATAAAAATACAGCTAGCATATTGCAAATCTATGCTAAAACTCAAATTCTCAGCACATTATTGTGCAGTAAACATGCCAATCTGCTATGAGCAATAATTTATTACACTTCCTACCCTGGCATATTCATAGCCAGCACTCCTGCAACAGAATCACAGGCATTTCAATCGACTCTGTGAGCAGAGCCAAATTGGGATTAATTCTGCTGATTTCCAAGTGATAATGGTGGAACTGAGACCACGATTGATGTTAGGGTCCCTCAGATTTTCTGATGATTTGCAAAGAACCTCCTAGTCCAACACCAGAACCCTCTCTTCAGACCCCATGGTATGGTCATTAATAATCAAACAGAGTTCTCTAAATAATTGCAGGATCTTTTGGTTTATTTTGCCTGAAACAACTTTAAATATTTTTCCCATTATGTTAAGACTTCCCTAACAGGGCTTGTCCTTTTAAACAAGTTCTGTCCTGAAAGCCTCAACAGGAATGGGTACCTTGGAGGCTTTATCTGTTCAGGTTTACTTGGCTGAACTTGTTATAAAAAGTGCAGTTAAAAAAATTGGATCAATACATGAAGAACCCACAGAACACCAGAAGCAGTAATGCAATTATAGCAGTAAATACACAGTATTTTACAGCCAGGTTTCAGTCTATGGCTCAGGCTACGCTTCAGATGATGAGAGAAGCTTGACTCTCTAGGTATAAAGCTATGCATATGTTTGGTTAGCCTGTCCTTATCCAGACCCTCGGTATTAGCTGTCAGGAGATAATGACTGCCCCTTTCAGGACCTGATTCAGACTCAATTACAACAGTTACTCAGTTACTCAATTAGCTTTTTTTTGTATTTAAAGGTTTCGTATCACTCATAGCTCTTAGGCAGGAGAGTGGGGGATAATGACTCGCTGTCATGTGTGTCTTAATAGCATACATAAAAGAAGCACTCTAACAAAATCTTGGAGATATATGTAAATCACATGGTAATATTCCAAAATTGGCCTGAATAACTGTAACAACTGTACTTACTGAGGAGTAACAGGATGGCCAACACCAGCCTCATGCCTCCCTGTGAAACTGGTGCCCCTGCAAGAGAAGAACTGGTGTGTCACCCGGTGCTCTGCCTCACCACGGCACCCCTTCCACGCAGGCTTACTCAGAGCTAAAAGCAAAGTGACAGAGCCATAATAAAAACACAAAGGTTAAGAGGAAACACTGACTTTCATTTTGTTTCAGCAATAATTTCTCCTGACAATTTTCAACACTGAAATCATGATGAAAGCAGAGGGACATCTCACAATTGCTTGCAGATAAGATCATAAAAACATATTCACACTTAGTTTAAAGTAACAATAAAATGTTACCAGGAAAAATATCGTAGTATTTGAATATAAGCTATTTAAACCAAAGTAAATTCAGCAGGGCTGTTAGCAGAGATCTAACTCCTCCTCTGGATGTTCGTGTTTCTGGCACTGACTTAAAACAAAGACCGAGGTCCTAATGAAGATGCCACTGAGAAATGCCTTAAGTGAATTTTGGCAGAGACGAGATTATAACTGCATCTTTAAGTACAGTAAGGAAAAAACAGGTTATGCTAGTATCAATGCAAAAGACTCGTGCGGGGGAAGATCTGTGTGACCCCAAGGGAAATTCATTGTGGCATTTACTTCACACTCTTCCTCTTCCCACTCACCTGAGAGAAAATAAGACTTCTCAACTCAAAACCTCTGTTGAGAAAACAGAAGGCAGCTATGGCTATAAAAGACAACCCAGCATCCTGCCACCAAGTAGAGGTCCCAAACCACACCCTGCCCTCCATCTTTGCACCTTCTGCCTCTTCGTCCATCTGTAGGCACCAGCAAGGCCAGCATGCCCTGATGCAGCTCCAGCTGCTGGTGCACCTCCACGTAAGTGTGCCCAAAATGCTCTTTCCCAACCCCGTTCCCGAATCCTCACCTTCATACAGCCACTGCTGTGCTGAACAAGGTGAAATAATCCCCTAAGTAGGGGGAACAAAGCAAGGCATTCAAACTATTTCAGATGTTACAGACTCCACGCAGGCTTGGTTCAGGCGGCTCTATACAGCACATGACACAACAGCCCTACCTACATGGCTATTTCAGTCACCACAGG